TATGTACCAATTGATGTGAGGGTTATCGGCAAGCGCCCACTGCTCGCTACTTTCCGTTTCATTCATCTAATATTTATTATTCTATTCATTCTATCCGTTCTAAATTCTAATGGCACTGCTATTTATATATGTATTATGAATGTCAATATTCTATCTCTTTATCTGTGAGAGTGTGTGCGTGTTTTAAAAACCTGTTAAATGGTTTTATACACAATTACTAATTAGTATCTATGATTCATTACTGGTTGTTGTTTTTACGTTTATTTCTATAGAATTAAGTTTTATTCGAGCAATAGTAGTATACCCTTCGATGCTACTGCTACATAAAAAATAAGTTTTGGAATTACGATTACCTATGGTTTATTGCTTTATAGGCTACCTATATTATATTATTATTTATAATAAATATAATATATACGATCTATAAGGCCTTTAATGTATTCAACGTTGTTGATTTAAAATTGCATAAGAAGGTTGCAATTAACATGATCAAATTGTATAGGTAGGTACCTACTATCTACATTAATAATGATTCCATTTACAATTAATTCAATTATAATAAAGTAATTTTATAATTATTAGTAGGTATAATGGTATCTATTTAAGGATACCTGTTTTGTTGGAAGTTTTTTACGATAATTCAGTTTTTAAGTGAGTTATGACTTATGAGCATTTTTAATTTACATTTATTATACACGCATAACTCACTTAAAAACTGAATTATTGTAAAAAAACTTCCAACAAAACACAGATAATGTTCTTACAATCAAGTTTCATAATAGGTCGATTCACTCTAATTTATAAGCTAACGACATAAAACGTTCATTTCTGAGTGTAAATTTGGTATGTTACGCGTTTGTAAGACGAAGACAACATGATACTCTTAATATAGTTCAGATTTCAGAAGTCAGTCATTTGGATCACTCAGTTTGCGTATACAGTACGACTTTTTAGACCAAGTCGATCATCTATTTTATAATAATATGTTATCTATGTAACAAAATTAGATTTTTAAACGAAATAAGAAAACCATAGACATTTTACTTATAGAGCGGCCCATCCAAATACATACCAAAAACATTGATAGTCACGCGCCGGTATGGCGCAATGATGCAACCCATTTAGTATGAATATAATTGATGAATATAAAATATTTATAATATATGTTTTACCGTATAACTCTTAACGTTTTAGATTTGACGCACTTTTTGCGCTGAATGCTCACTGAGTGTGAATACGTATTCGATTTGACCAATATTTCGTCGTTGACACGAAAAAACCTCCCATGTACTTAAACCTAATTTTTCAGGAGAGATGAAAAACGTTTTAAAAAATCACAAATCATCAATGATTAGGTAATGAAAATACATTTAAAAAACGTAATAAAATATACATTTCTATTCTGAAAAAAATTGAAGTAAAAAACTTAATATATATGTATTTATTGTACAAATTTTCAATATTTCATCACATAGGAGGTTATGTTAATCATTTTTTTTTTTTGCCAAACAGTACATAGGAGGTTATGTTAATTAATCTTTTTTGCCAAACAGTACATAGGACTCTCCTATGATAGGAATTAGGAGGTTATGTTAATCAATCTTTTTTGCCAAACAGTAGAAAGGAAGTTATTTGAATAATGGTTGGTGCCAGAGTAATAATAATAAAACTTATTTTGAACGATTTTATAAAAAAAAAACTAAGTTGTGTGATCTAAGAAATAAATATTTATTAACAATTAATTATAATTGAATAAAATACTTAACATAATAAAACAAAATAACTTTAAACTTTATATTTATAATATTATCAATGTATTAACAAAACATAATTGCTAACTTTTATAAGTAAATAATTATAAAATGTAAAACATTACAACAAAAAAAACAATAAAAAATAGTTAACCACTTTTTCAGTCCTGTTAATAAAATAAATAACAAGTTATAGTTACTCAAAATACTTAAAATATACTTTTTAGAATTATAACATATAAGGTAAAAGTTAAAAACAATAATGTAATAGTAACCAGTCTTTGGATTTCTTATCATAGTTGAAAAAAAACATAGTTTCTCACTTTTCTGTTTCATAGGTAACAAATTATAGAAAATTATAATACAAAATATAAATTGTTATTATCATTTATGAACATGGACAAATCTCCCATGTGCATATTTCATACACGACACTACATCTACTCTGCATGCCAATATCTCCAATGTAATTTTGACCAAATTTTTAATCGCATAGGAGGTATTTCATAAACGATTTATGGTTGGCACAGATATATAAAAATACTAGATAGACGACTCCCTATTCCTACCATGTAATAATTTTGAAGCCAACAAAATGGCCGAAATACTCTTATCTAAGAGGTGAATGTTTACAAAATATAAATTATGATAAACTGTGATAATTTTATGGCGGGAATCAAAAACTATTAAATATGTATTACAAATTACATATCATTACAATATCATACACTTACTAGTTACAACACGGACTACGGATGTACTTATATTTTTTATTTTATAGTATGTCTTAGTCCTTGACTTAAAATTAAGATTAAAACTTAAAAGTATAATTTATTGCAAAAAACGAGAAATGCAATATAGATATAATAAACAAGTTTCAAGCTCGTCCAATAAACACATGCTTGAATTCTAATGATCTGAGTTCATATTAAAAATGAACTAAAATGAAAATAAATTTAACTTTATGTTATGCCATATTACAACAAAATAAAGTAAAACCAAAAAGATTTAATTTTATATTAAATATAAGAGAAAATATTATTAATATATATCTTATACTTGGTGAAATTACAAAAATTGGTTAAATTAATAATATATTTATGTAATAACAAGCCTCTTCTAATTATTAGACGTTGAGTTCCAAAATAAATGCCATTAAATGGTATAATTAAATTACAATTATTTTATGATCTTGTATTTACAACCATACAAAGGATGGAATTTACTTGTATTAATTTTATAAATACGGTATAATACAATATGCAGTTCATAAATTTTGACCAAAAGTTCAATCCTTAAACTCATGGTAAATTATATTAGTAAAATATGATTTAGTTTTGTTAAGAATGATTTTTATTAATTAATTTATAGTTTAGGGTAAGATATTGTTGTGTATAGGAGTATGTGAAGCCACACATCAAAATCAAATACAAACATTAAATGTAAAAATCTTGATTTAAAAATAATAAACCTATGTAATAATACATTTGCATTCGATAATAATATTTTTTATACACTTCAATGTGATAATGTTCCTTTGCTAGATAGACCCCATAAGATGGTATTCATTTCATTATTAGTTAAAAAAATATCTAAGTATTCAACTCCATTCTTTTGGCAAAATGTTTTCAACAGAAATTTTAAATCCTGTTAGTAAAAGACAAAAATTAACTAAACAAATAATTTTTATGAACCAGTAGTAGGTATAAAATATTATATGTAGTATAGACTATAGGTACCAGTTTTATTTTAAATATTTGTATTATTATTAAATTAATTAATATACTAGTTTTGTTTTATTTACTTGAAATATTTTATATTTATTACTATAATATGTAGCACTAGTATAGATACAAATTTTGTTTTATTAATTTTAAGTATTTTATGATTATTATTATACAAGGTAGTATACCAGTTTTGTTTTATTGATTTTAAATATAGTTTTTCAAAAATAATAAATGGATGTAAAATTTTTAATTAATTAATTCAGATTGTTTTTAAAAATATTTTACAATAGAACAAATTTTTATAAAATAATGTAATATTCACATGCACCATTACATAATTTACATAACTGTTGAATAAGCTAAAAGTTGATAATATGTATTTAAGACTTATGTAAGTAAGTTAAGTTATTAACATCATGAACTAACTATACAACTTTAAAGTTTAAACTTATAATTTATAATATTAATCATAATTCATATTATGACAAATTAAATAACAATAATATCTTTATCAGTATTATGAAAATGTAAACATTCACCTCTTAGATAAGAGAATTTCGGCCATTTTGTTGGCTTCAAAAACATTTCCAAGTTATCTATCTAGTATTTTTATATATCTGTGATGGTTGGTAACACATAGGAGGAATTGTATATTATTTTTCATTAATTCTACGATGGAGATATCACAAAGGAGTTTTTATCAAAATAACCGCCAATTTTTTCTGAATCCAGGGATACCAATATCTCAAAATCGAAAATTTGGCACATAGGAGGTTTTTTCGTGTCAACGACGAATTTTGGTGAACTGGTACAATGTTTTGTATTCTATTTATTCCACTGACTGCCGATTATGTCAGTGCAATGGGTGCATTTTATAAAAACGAACCGTTTTTCTCTATAACGGGACCATAGATATATAAACATATTATATCTGTAAACGGGACATTATAATATTATTTCCTATTTGTCATATTATTATCATTATAATATTATTCATTATAATATTATTTGCATCTGATAATAATGTTTTTTTTTTTTATTCAATTTATACATAGATAATTTATGGATTTATAGAAAACATTCGCATTTCGCGTAGTGCTAGTGGAATATCAGTGCACAATATTTTGTCAAATACTCAAATTGAAAACGCTATCAGTAACATAATATCTTGACAGTTGACACGGTGGAAACGTGTAGGGGACCGATCTTTATGATGTCGTAGGAACTTTAAAGCTGAAAATTAAAATATTTTGTCGTCTGACGTCTTTTTGCCTGTATTGCTTTTATAAAAAATTAACCGAACATAACCCGAGAAATTCCCATTTATTTACTTTATGTTTATGCATTGTCTGTTGGTCACACTGTTTGTTAAAAGATTTCGAAGTTTGCTATCAAATCTATGCCGAGTAATCCCCATGGTAAAAGACTCCGAACTCCGAATTCCAAAAATCGCTATTTCCTTTTTTGAAATTAGGAAAAGTGCTTATTATAAGTTTCATTTACGTTTATTTTTGATAATACTATGGAAGATCACATGATATATAACTACAATTACACTAGGTGTGCACTTAGTTTTTGTAACAACACTTACAAGAGAACTCCTGAAGAAGATCAACTATCGTTTTTCAGATTTCCTGAGGATCCAGTAAGGTAAGAAAACCATAGATAATACATTATACAAAGATAGGGCATACATTTCATTCAAGAGGAGTGTTCAAAGAACATGCTAGTTACCAAAAGTGATTTAATGCAATTAAGATTGTGGTATCCTCACCACTGATAATATTGAATCATAACTTTAAAACATAATACGATAAAAAATAAAATTATTGAAATTAATTTAAATAAATTTTAGTTTAAAATATTTCTTTAATCAGGCTTTAAAGTAAACTGTACTGACAACTGCGAAACCACTAACTGGTACACTCTTCAATCGTATACTAAAGACTAAACTGTGTGTCTGTGTGTTATGTGTATTGTGTATTAGTACAGAACAATATTAGGTATAAGCATGGTTAAATATTTATTAAGCCATGCGTATAGGAATATATTTGTATTTTTATCTAGGAATTAAGGTGTATTTATTTAAGTGATGAATACTAAATACACCTTGCTAGGCATTTACTAATTTTTGCGATTATCGGGATAGGTAAAGAATATTATATCCTAGCATAATAGCATATCATAATAATTATTCTTTGATTCTAGTAGAAGAAAAGTGTATTGATATTTGATAGGTTAGCTATATCAATATTCAATAGTCAATACACTTTGAGTAGAAGTATATACCTATTCATTATTTATTTATTGTATTTTTAATTTGTATAATAATTTAATTTGAGCTAAATTACTCTGGGTTGCGCTATTTTACTCTATGGGACATGGGTTGAGCAAACTGATATTATTATCGATATATCGATTTCTTAAATGTCGATAGTTGATATATATCGAAATAGAAATATCGAAAAAGATATTCTATTTCAAAATAATAATAATAAAAAACTACGTTTATTAACCTTTATTTAAGATGGTACTATCTTAAATCGTGGTGCCGGGTGGTGCATTCTTTTCTAGCGAAAGACCAGTGATGCCAATATGGCATTCCTTGTGAACTGAAGCATTCTTATTAACGGTTTTATTTGTATTCGATTTATTAAAAACTAGTGCAACACTCGCGTAGTGCTATGCTAGTGGAAGTTCAGTGCACACTATTTTGTCAAATCGAAAACGCTATAATAGCCGTAACCTCATAAACAAAAATAAAAGTGATATATTTTTAATAATTAAAATATAAAATTATACTCGGAGAAATTAAATTATATTTATTTTATATTTAAAAATTGTATACATATCGTACCTAACTTCAATAGAACTTACTATAGAAATCATAAACATAGATAATAAAGATATGGATAGGCCACGCAAAATATTTTAAATATATTTGAGGCCGCGTTCCGAAGGGAGGCAATGGAGGCTCCTTTATCTATAGCCGTGATTGATAGTCGATACTCGCTATAGATATACTTTATTTAGCCTCAATAATTGTACCTAGAGAGCCTTGATATAGAGAGAGTGGCCAACTGGTGTGATAGCAGCATAGACATAATGGGGGAAATCATAGACGTATGAAACTAATACTGTATATCGTACCCCTGACATCTCTCTCCAAGCGCTGTCCATCAGTTTATAGGTCTATGGATAGCAGCCATTAATCGTCCAAACGTTTCCCGCCTTTTTTTAAATTTAAACACTTCAGCTAGGGGCATTATGCACTAATTTTTTAGCTTATAACCTTATTATAGTTATTGTTGTAAAGTATTCAAATACTTTTACAAGTATTGAATAATAATAATATATCAAGGCTCTCTAATTGTACCCCTTGAAGACCGCTGATAAGACCATTATGTCCTATCCATATCTTTATTATCTATGATCATAGGTGACAAGATAAGTTTTGGAGGGAAAATCGTGGTGGCCTATGGGTCTATCCATTGATATTATCTATTGTTATTAATGATAAAATGATTAAAATAAAAATAAAAAGTTGTGAACTTTTTTAGATTAACTTAAATTAGTATTATATAAAGTGGTCATAAAGGTGCTTACTCCAGTGTTTTATTCAAAAGGGACTTATTCCTGGAAAAATAATGATTTGTTCAAAATCACCCTCTTTCAACTTAAAAATATACTAAAAAAATTTTAAGGAGAAAACTTTTGATATCAGAAATTGATTTATAATTTTTTTTACTTATTTTTCAATGCATCACAAGTTATCTAAATCACTTGAAAATCAGAGAAATAAAAAAAAAGCTTTCCAGAAAAATAAGAAAAATGGAAAAGGTTCGTTTTGAATTGAAAACCTTCTATATCTGTGCATATAACATATTAATCTTAGCCCGTGGTGATATGTTATTTCTCTTAATAATTATATGCTATATTCATTTGATAACAAATGTTAGGACTTGTAGAATATTAAACAACTAGTCAATTAGATAAAATTGGCAAAAGCCAAGAACAATAATATGAAAAAATAAGTAGACCAATAATTCTTTCCATAAATGTTACTCAAGTTGAATGTTTACAGAATCATTAATTTAATATTATATATTTAATCATTAACTGAGGAGTTTACTATGTACCTCTAGTATCTACTGATTATTAGTTTTAATAGTATTATTTGTTATTATTTATAGATGTGCTATTTGGGTTGAGAATTGCGATTCAAAATATTTGCCAAATGTAGACCTGGAAAATCTGAATAAAAGATATAAATTATGTTCAGTGCATTTTGAAAACCGAATGTTCAATTTCCAAAAGAATAGACTCTTATCCAATGCAGTACCAACATTATTTAAAAGTTAGTAGATTAATAATTAATTAGTTTGTATATTAATTTTATGACTACATAATTATTAATTATGTATCCTGTGTTTTTAGATAAACCCCCAGTAATGACAACAGTTACATCGCAAACTGTTTATGAAACTATTACAATAGACGATGACGTCCCACCAGGTATCCCAGTTGATGCTCAAACGTCTTGTTCCAAATATGGTGTATTAGGTATTTAAATTATATTTTACTATTTAAGTAATATTTAAATATAACTAATTACTATATAAAATTATAATGATTTGAAAAAAAAAATTTATTTTAGATAAGAATATTAACAAAAACTTGTTTGATGCACCATCAACTACAGGATTTTTAAAAAATTCAGTATGTCTCCAAACTCCAAATTACTTATCAGCCAAATCACCACGAAAACTTAAACTTAAGAAGCAACTAGCTGAAGAAGTCAATTTAAAGAAGCAATTAGAAAAAACTGTCAAAGAATTAAAAAGGCAATTAGAACAAACAAACTCTGAAGAAAATTGTCTCAAATTGTGTGAACTATATTTACCCTCAACAATGTATATGTTGGTAAAAAATTATTTATCAAACAAAAATAAAACACCAAATGGCCAACGACATCTCAATGAAATAACACAATTCGCACATACAGTTCATCATCTTGGACCCAAAGCTTATTATTTCCTTCAAAAACATTTTACCCTTCCTCATATGCGTACTTTAAGGAAAAAAACTGTTCAAAATGTTGACAAAAATATTCAAAACATAGTTCAAAATGACCATAGGTACAGTAAAATTTAATAGTATGAGAAACTAATATTTTTATATTGTAATCAAAGACTGATTTGAGGTCAAAAAGACATAATTTATGTAATGAACTCTTTACTTGAATATATTTCATACTAATTGTAATATTTATTTATATAAAAGTTGTTTAGCTTAGAAATGAAAATAAATGTTATTTTGTTCTTAAATTGAATAAAGTAAAAATGTAAGTTACATTTTTAACTTACATTTTATTTATTCAATAGGATAAAAAAATGTTAAAACCAAACTGAATAATATAAAACACATAATACATTTTTCTTTATTAGATTAGGATTTTATCTCTTAATTTACACATATGCTAATACTTAATACATTGTTTACCAAATAAGAAACACCCACAGCCGCCGACTTGTGCGCATGAGCGTGGCAATACTACACGGCAGGTGTACAAATAGTTGACGCGGTGAGTGTTTCTTATTTGGAATAGAGTATAATATTATGTTCAGTGTAAGAACTATACTGCTCTGTGACCTATTTCCGTCTTTGGTGGCAGTCAAGCATTGCAAGTCCATCCCTCTACCAGCCTACCAGCTGTATATCAGACATATCTGCTATGTAGCACAAATCGGTCACCAAGTATATTTTTTTTATCTCGAATAGTGTATAGTACTTTACTCATTAAAAATATTGTTAATGTTTCTGGTGTAGTTGACAACAGTTAAAATTCACCTTAAAATATATTGATATTTGATTATCAAAAAGTGTATCATTATGTTGTATTGCCTTGAATTTGTTGAAGAGTTGATTACAAATCCTAAACAAATACTAATGAATATGAAAATATTAAATATGATGAAAAGTATTAAATAAAATTATATATTTTACAAAAGGTATAAGAGTATTAACTACAGCCAAAAGAAAATTGTGAAAACATTTATTAAACACCTAGATATTTTATGACAATGAATTAAATATGAATTCAAGTTTAAAAATATCTAATCTTCTAATGTTAACAAATTTATTAGTTATTGTTGCAATGTTTCTCTTGAATTGTCATGTGTTTAGGACCTTGGTAATATATAACTACCTATTGTCTAAGTTTAAAATAAGTTTAAAATTTAAAACAAAATAAAGAATAATGACGGATTTTAATATTTGAGGCTAAAGCCACGATTCATGAACTAAGATAATATAGGTACTTTATTAATCTCTATTGTATAAGGCGATTCAGCATAATCTATTATTGCCTGATGAAGTATCAGTTTGTATTGTATTGTATTGTATTATATTGAATTTGCACAACAATAAACGATGGTAGCAGAAGAGTAGTATTGTTCACACAGTCACCTCTGCTGTCGGTTATAAAGGAAAAAAAACATATAGGTACTAATATGAAATATCAGTCTTGTAAACAAGAGTGAAGTGGCGGTTCTAGTGTATGTGCTGCTGCTTGTATCAATATAACTGGTGGCCCATTGAACAATTAAATAATGTACTTACAAGTTACAACTTACTGGCTACTGCTAATATTATTATGTATTCCCGTAGTCAATAAAATTAAATAGTTTGCTAAAAATATATAAAGAAGGTAATTACTAATTTTACTCACAGTTAAGACCTAACTGTAAATGTAGTGTGACATTGTATTACATTTTCAAGCTTTTTGACAAAGTGATAAAATTTCCATCTTAAATATATTTTATACTTTATAGTTATACATTTTAATTTATTTATACGGGTACCTATAAGTGATACTAGTATAGTTACAACTTTACAAGATTAGTACTAAGTTACGTAACATACATTCGGGATTTAGAGAATTATAGATATAAGTATAATGATAATTTTATTAATATAATAGTATAATAATGATATAATAATAGTAATATGTTCACATATTTAATGTACCTATTTCAATAATAAAATAACGGTTGCAGTGTTGACACCCAAATTGAACTAAATCTACAATTTTTAGGCCCCACAAGTTTGTATTTAACATGAGACTACAGCGGGAGTCCTAATAGGGAGTAGGGACAGCCCTAGCTAGAGATGTAAGCTTGACAGTTTTCCACTTAATTTGGAAACTTGATTTTTAATGAATTTTTTACATAATTATTAATTGTTGTGGTTTTGTGGTTGTTGTGTTAGTTAAATGTTTACTATTTAATTAGTAATTAATGACTGTGAATATGAACTAAAATTAAAGTATAATATATAGGTACCTATAACCTATAATATATGTTAAATAAAACATATTTATCAATTATAAATAGTTCTGACTTACATGGTCTTGTCTTAAGACTAGGTAAATTGTAAGAAGTACCTAATAACTTATAAGTTATAACTAATCATAAAAAGTAGTTAGTGAAAAATTGTGGAAATAACTCACAAAAAATGGAAAAATCAATTAATGTAGGAAAACGTTTATACTCTTAACATTTATACTTGAAGTAATAAAAATACAATTTTTTTAATAATATAGATAAAAATGCACATTTATTGCCGAGATAAATTTATTTGTACTTTGCATTTCCTATATTATGTTTAATAGTATAATATTAAAATGTGTAAATGGTAATACAATTTAAATATAACTATTTATGTTAAATATACTAATATACTATACCTAACTAATAACTATATAAGACCAATGGTTATATTTGATAAGAAATTAATATGAGAAATTATAAAATTTTCATGAAAATGTACATCACTACTCACCAGCCCTGGGCCCTAAATCATCACACCGTTTTAGATACATATAGGTGCACACATCAACAATGAATGCAATTTTAAATGAACAAAAGCGATTAATTATCAGAACACAGGTCTAAAATAATATTGTACTTGTACCTTGATGTTTCATAGCTATTGGACAATATTGAAAAGTTAATGATTCCACGTGAATCATTTCGAAGAAATTATTTCAGCTCAGCCAATTTAAACTTGGTAGCCGGTAGGTACCTATAAACCAAGTAGGTAAGTAAGACAATTTTCTGTATTTTTTAAATACATGTATATAATATTATATTTGTTTAGTATTTTTTTGTAGTCGCATATAATAATATATAAGTAGGTAGGTGCTATTGATTTACAATTATTAGATGAAGTAGCTAACGCTTAGAGCAAGGGTCGGCAACTGCCGAGGGATCACGGAAGGGTTATTAATGGACCCCAAAACTATTTTATTTTAATGCTGATTTATTTTTCATTATTTTTTCTCTGTAGTTAGACCATTAGACCCGGAATAGCATGATGAACAAAAAGTTTTTCTGGACCTCCAAAGTTTTTTTTTAAATCGTCCGAACCCCCCCCCCCCCCACAGAAACTGATTGCCGACCCATGGCTTAGAGGGTGACCTGTGAGAGTGACGGATGAAAATTCAGCGACCAGAGGTTTTTGACGATCTGGTTTTAGATGAGAATGAAAATTGTCCGCAGCACATCGTCCCCGTATTATTCGTAATGAGTAAAATAATAATTATTGTATTTAATGTAATGTTGTCGTGCCTAACGTCTTCATCTCCCTTTCAAACACATCACAGACTATCGCCGGCTGGCCTCACACACACACATTATTATCATTATTATGTTGTTGTGTTTGTAATTGTTATATACTTATATAATAATATTATGTAGTACCTAGTGTTCAAATTCATTGATTTCTGTAATTGTATATTAATTGTATTTGTATACTATTATAGAATATAGTTCGAACGATCTTAACATATTTTAGAACTCCTGGTTATTATATTTATTATATGATCGACATCGGAAAAAATCTATTTCCTGCTTGGTCCAACTTTCCAAACATCGAAACATTACACTATGAAATTACACAGTGAATAGAAACAATTTAATAATTTATTTCGTGGGGGCTATTACAAGTTATGGGAATTTATACTAACTACTATAAGATACCCCTATATAGTGGTTGTACGTGGGTCAGAGAGAGAAATAAATGTGTGTTCAATAAGTGTGTTCAAATCTGACATCCTCTTAAGTGTCATCAAGTTTAAGAAGCTGTTGATTGTTGACATTCAACATTAACTGTGGTACCTAGGTATTATTTGAAGAATAGTTTATACTGCTTATTGCAACGCTGTGAATTTACTGAAATAAAAAAGTTATAAAGTCGTTATTCTTGGTTATTTAATATGTAATTTCGTCCAAATTTGAACCTAAAATAACTAAAAAAACCGAGTTTTTGAACTTATGAGATTTTTTGGTTACAGTCTTACAGAATAAAATTTATTTACGCGGAACCTTGTTTTAAATTTTCAATCCTTAGCTATAAAAGTTGAACATTTTATACATTTTTAACTACAAAATAATTATTAAAATTTATATTTGATAAATTATATGTTGTCAAAATTCGAACTTTATATGCTTATAAAAAGTGTGCCTAGTATTTTTAATATTTTTCAACTGCTATTGTAACAATATATCAGAAACCTTGTATTAAATTTTCACGCTTTTTTACCGAACAAATAAAATTTTATTGACAATAGTTAAAGAAAAAAAAATAATAAAATTGGAAACTGGAAATGTCCGTAAACAGTTCAAAACAAATGAAAATATTTTGAAAATTTTATCGTGTAAGTAAAGAAAATGCGAATATAAACAACCAGTGAACATTTCATTTTGTCGAAAACTGATTTTGTGTAAAAATTCCTTTTCTCTTACTTTGTATTTTGTTTTCCTCGGCGCTTTTGAAAACTATTGAGTCATTGAGAATTTTAAATTCTGACTTCCCAAATGCACCAAGTAGATTCACTTTCCCATTGAACAAGATACTCTTGAAGAAAATAGAAGTAACTTAGTAATATTTGACATTTAAGAATTTTTTTCTTATCTTGCATTCTGATTAGATAATAATATGTATTATTATTAGATTATAATTTTAAATAACAAAATGTAAATTTAAAATTTTAGTAATTGTTTTAAAAGATTTTTAGGAGTTATAGACATACTCAGTACAGTACATCAGTACCTACTACAAATTACAATCCAAAACGGGTGCATTCGGGAAAACCAAAATTATTATGAATAGTTTCATTTTGATAATATAAGAACATTGAGAACAGATAAGGCATTTTCAGAATTATAGTTAAAAATTGTTCTGATTATCGAAGAGGTAAGGCTAGTCCTAGTGTGCTGCATGTCTTGAAATCTATGCTACTTGACAATCGCATAAATTTCTAATTTGAAAAAATAAAATAAAATTTTGTAACTATTCATATTGGTATACTTACCTACTCGTTCCAAAATTAATATTACATTTTCCATATTCTATTGTTTTTTTTATTTATTTAATTAAACAGTATTTTGTATGTACACATTTGTAAGCAGAAGTATACTGAAAATTCCGATTGTATTTTTTATTAACATAGGTAGGTACCTAATATTTTGAATTTTTTTTAAGATAGATACCTACTCCTATATATTTTTTTGTATATTTTTGAATTTTTGAGTGTATAAAATTAACAATAATTTTTGTTTAACAACAAATTGTGAATATAATAGTATAATCTAAATATTAGTAATATGGTTTATTGGGGGATGTGGGGGCTGAGCGCCTGATCCCCCCACGACCATGTGAGCAAATCATAATTGTAGCACTCTAAATATTTGAACTCTAGTTGTGCCACTGGCGACACATCATGTTTGTGCGAAAAATTAAATAAAAAATGTATAGCATAATAATATTATGCTATACATTTTTTTTTCATTTTTTTATTACCTACTGGCTACTATATAGCTGTAGCCTGTAGTATCTAGTGTTGAGCCGAGGGGGGTTGGTAGAACCTTTCTTAAATTGTCCAAATCAGAATTCGATTTTTTACTATATAACTATCAACGATGAAATTACTCTGCCGCTAATACAATATTATAATATTATTATAATAGCTTTCCAGTTCATAATAATATTGGCTTTGAATAATAATATAATTGGCGCCAAAATTGTCGTGATAAGTGATAAGACGTGATAACCGTGCAGTTTGTTTGCGTCGTATCAAAATTCAGTATGACAAATTCGTGGATTCTTTAATGTGAAACGTCAGTGGTCAATCGTCGACACTCGACCGTCGTATTCAAGGTAATTATAATAATATTTGAACCACAGGATAAATGAAATTTCATCTATTCTGTGTTATTACTACCTTAGTACCTTGGTCTTATTTTAATTTGTAATATAGTACGAATTATACCTATAATACACTAGTAGACGATATTCTACAACTTGCTTAAGTCGAACTTTTTCCTGAATTTTAGATCATTTAAAAGGCTACGTTCTATAAGTGTTATAATTACAAATGTCTATAATATAGAATATCATATCGTTTGATACTATGTAGCCCCAACACCGATGTTCAATTAAGTGGCGCTCATCAATTGCAACACAGTCTCTTGTCCGCTACTCAAATAAATGGTAAGTCAATATCGTTATTATCTCATTAGTTTTAGTATGGTTACCCTAATTGTTCTGATGATTACAGGACCCGCTCAGCGACGATACTATCCCTTTCGGAGAGGAGAACGCTGCAAATTCTACAAAATTACCGTAAGTTGAATATGAATGGAATACCTATACAGTATATGAAACTGTGGCTTTTGAAGCAGTTGGATTACTGTTGTGAATGTGGAAATATATCAATTATTTCAAACAACACGTTTGGGAATCAAATTTAAAAACCAATTGTACCCATTTAATTAAAAACGTATACTGTAAAGCCATATCAAACACTATAATCCTACATTATCAGCTGAGTATTTCAGAACCATGTAAGTTCATATAACATAGTTGGTCGGATACCGTTTGACATGGCCAGGTGACACCGTATCTGTGTCAGAGCAAATCAGACGGCATTGAACGTGTTAATGAATTTCATTAACATATTGTCCTGTTAAAACAAGCAGTAGTCTCTTGGTATATTTAGTAAAATAAAATTGTACAAAAACTTTTATAATACCTAGTTATTTGTTATTACTTGAAACTCAATACCTCAGTTTTTTTTAATTACTTTATCCAGTCATTCATTAACATGTAATACTTTATACATTTATACACTTTTTAACAGCAGCCAGATCTTACTAATATTTTAATATCTTGAAATATTCTATATATTGTGCTTAATAACTTTTCTCTTGAAAAAATACAATTTTATTTATTTTATTTCAGGCATCCATGTGTAACCTTTTTTCACTTATTCTTCCGAGTGTCTGCTGTTCTCATCTATTTTTTTGGAAGAATATTTACCGAGAGCTTTATCACATTATTTGTTCTTATAATTTTATTATTATCCATGGATTTCTGGATTGTAAAAAACATAACAGGTTAGTTCTCTACATGGCTACATAGGTATTATAATATATATTATATAAAAATTGTTTTGATGAAAATATTGAGCAAGTTATTGTTTAAAAAATTGTATGGGTACCCACAAACTTTAATAATTGTTTTTGATATTTAGGTCGTATTATGGTTGGCTTGAGATGGTGGAATTATGTAGACGATGATGGGGTTTCACATTGGGTATACGAATCACGAAAGGTGAGAAATTGTTGGTTCTTTCTAACCACAATACCAATAGTATTTTCATCATTGTATAGATGGCCCGTCATGAATAAGTGCTTATAATTACAAAATTGGTTTCCATTATGTTAAGCTTGGGTTAAAATTAGACCATTTACTATTGCACTACTTTATATATAACGGATTTTAAAAATATTGACTTTTCATTAAACTATTCTAATATTAACATTTAGAAATCAATTTTTGTGTGTTATGTATTTATGATGTAAGAAAATAATATATTTTTAGACGATATGCTGATATCTGTGTTGTTACAAATTCATGTTATCTCATAACTCAACCTAATCTTTACTACTTGTGAATTTTTATATGCAATGCTCATTGTCAGCAAATATTATGAGTTCCCTTTGTCAACAGGGATCTGTGCAGCATCGAGTTAACTCCAGTGAATATACAATATTTTGGGCTGGATTATGGTCCGTCACTGGAATGTGGATTTTATTCTTTATCACATCATTCTTTAGCATAAATTTTAAATGGATGGTAAGTAGAACACATAGTTTATTGCATGGTTTTATTATTGAGATTTAACAATTGTGCAATATGATTTCTACTTTTTTTTTATAGTTATTGGTCAGTATAGCGTTGACTTTGAATATTGCAAATTTGCATGGTTATATTAAATGCAAAGGAGGAAATCAAGAAAACATGGGTATTTCTTCGATGGCCAGTAGTTTTATTTTTCAAAATATCGGAAAAGTAAGAACATTTATCATATATAATTCATAAGCACTTAATTTTCACTTCCTATAACCCCATAACCCCAAGTTTTGTTATATCAAAATAATGTATACCTTATTGCAGAGATTCCCAAACTGTGCTCATGATTATATTTTTTGTAGGTCGCATTAGATCTTGAAATACATATTTATATATTTTTTATAATATAAGATATTAAATAACAAATTACTTTAAAATATATAATATGTATAAAAATAAGAGATTTATTTCATGTAATTATATTGTACACTGATGCTTGAATATAGTTTTATCATTGATCATTATTTGTGATAGTTGTAAGTGCACCAGTGATGGGTAACTAAAACGCTGCCAAACTAAAAGTTATCACATAATTAACAATAACAATGAAACAGAAAAAAAGCTCATATGTATATTAACGAGGCACCAAAATTTAAACATTTTTTTTAATGGTCACACAGTGAACAATTTGGGAACCTCTGTCTTATTGTATTATATATTTCCATTTTATGATAATAAAAATGTTGTTAATAATGTTAATTTAGGCCTAATAATATTTTATATGCCTAATTTTGTTCATCAATATAGCTAAATGAAAACAATGTTGTTTAAGAGGACGCCAGCATATTGTGTTCAGTGTTTTCTCCTACTTACAAATATAGAACATAGCAAATTATATGTTAACAATAATCTATTTTACTCAGTTATTGACATTTTATGTTTTTGCTTTGGCACATAGAATCGAAATCAAAAAACGTTACGTTACAAAAAAATTTCAAAATATCATTTTTTTCATCCGAGATTCGAACTCGATATACGAGCTTATCACACTATAGTTAGGTGCGACTGCACTTGATGTCTTTGCTTTGGCACATAGAATCGAAAAACGTTACGTTATGATTTGTTTATCACCATTGTAACGAATAAAAAATTATAATGTATAATATGTTGTAATATAATATAATTATATTTCATACCAATTATAGCAGTCGTGTCTTTATTTTTATCAATTACCCTTTAAATATTACCTATGTTTACTACATATGATATCAAGGACAACAAAGACATAAAATGTGGTACTTCATTGCAGACTCATATGCAATGTGTTTATCTATGGTTATGGAGTGACCATTGACCACGGTTTAAGATAGATTGGTCTACATTTTTATAGTTGGTGTGAAATGAACTATTATTAAATTTAAAAGTAAAATTATTATCTAAGTGACTTGTATTGATATTTTAATTTTGAATTAAGTTATGATCATTTTAAAATGTGCTCTTTTAAAATAAGTACTCATAACTGGCTTTGTAATTAAAATATTAATAAAAGTCTCAAAGATGCCCTAAACAATAATCTTACCTTTACATTTTATGATAGTCCACTATGATTCACTTAATTTTTAAAAATAATATAGTAAAATGAATTATTTGAAGTATAAAATTTGTTATGTTGTAAATTTTTTACAATTGCGGCAACAAAACATGTGGGTGTTGCGTCTTCTTAAATATTTTAATAATTATATTTTATTAACTTTTAATTTATTATATCATGTTGTAACTTTTGATTATTTAACTCAGTAATTTGAATATCACTCATGTAAATAATAATTTCAATTCATTAATTGTAAAAAACTATGGTAATAATATATTTTATTATTTTCAGGTAAGAGAGACAATGTCAAGTTTAAATAATACACCAAGCAGTCCGCCAAATATAAAACCAACTGGTATTGTCTAACATTAACGAAAAAATGAATTGTTACTTTAACTATATGGCAAAATGTAAATTATAATTATGTGTATCTATGATTACCGTTCTATATATTATAATTGTATACATGGGAAAATAAATTATGAAGTCTAATAAAAAAAACATGCATTAACTACTTAGGAATTTTAAAATACAACAATTTGCTTTGTATGAAAAAAATTATATTTCAGTCAAATAATTACATGGACAAGTATATTATGTCGTATGTGCTGGGATAGATTAATTAAATAATAACTGACTTAACTAATCATGATTCCTATTTATAACTTGAATACTTGATTGTTTATAAATAATAAAAAAAATTAACATTTATTATAAGTAATTTATACACAATTTTAAAAGCAGTATAGTACACAATGATATACATATTTAATTGTTTTTTCTTTAAAAACTGTAACAGAAAAAAAGTTTGTTCTTAAAAATGACAATACGTATTGCTTAGAACATGATATATTTTACTTTTGCTGTGTGGGTGTTATTCAGTGGTGTATGCACTATATGGGGTTCTAACACTCCTTAAATTTCTTCCTTCTAAAATAAAATCTAAGTATCTGCCATAATATACATAGAGTAGATTAATATTGGCTGTCATTTGTAATAGATACAAAATAAATTGTAGTGACAATCAAGAATCTTGGTTTCAATTTTTATTTGGCTGATAAACGTTTGCCATAATCGTCGTATCATGTATCATCAATTACTACAACGTTTATTAAATCTTAAGACCTATTAAGATGGACCATGTTCAATATGCGCTAAACATGGACATTTGAGACTAACTATGATTTGTTTTAGCCAATTATATAAAAACTGTTTATCAAAAAATAATATAAATGGGGATGAATCACCTCCATGGGCCTGTGATACGCTACTGATCTTATTGACATAAACAATAATTATTATTCATTGTACAATTATTTTCTGGAAATAATATGTCTTGTCTTAGCATTTCAGTTACCTATTACCTATATCAAAATGTTGTGTACAATTTATAGATGACACTATTCACACTGAATAATATACCTAAATTGTTATTTGGAATTGTTTTATATAACTAGAAGATTTAATAATTAAATGTTTTTATAAAAAAACTATAATAAAAAAAAATGATTGCAAGTTTTTTTTAATTTTTGCATTTCTATATTATTACTATTAGCATGTTTGGTAAAAATGTTTTGAGGAGAGGTATTATAATTAGCTATAGCCTATAGGTATAAGCAGTAGTAATATCAAATATTGCGAAAAGCCGAAAACCTTTTGTTGAATATTAAAATTAATGATAAACAAAACAATGTAGATTCATATCAATAGATTAAATAACATCAATAGAATATGATAACGGTATTAAATAATAATAGATAATAATAATTATCGCGTAGTGTAGTCGTTTTCAATTGAATTGGAGGCCAAAGGCTTGAGAATCAGTTAACGGCGTCTATGAAAAAAGTGCAAAAAAAGTCATGGTCCAGGTGAGGCTCGAACTCACAACCCCGGCATCGCTCACGAACAACTGTCTTATAAGTACCGTGCGCTAACCGATTGCGCCACTGGACCTGTTCGTCAGGAGCCGATTTCTACCCATTTAAGTGGTCTCACCAACAGTAATAACCAAATTGTTTATTCAAATGCCGTTGTAAGTTTTTTTTATATTGTTTAACAAAAGTGTTTATTTTTATTCGATCGAGTCTTGAATTCTTACATTCTACGTACCGTAAATTCTACGTATTTTTATTAAATAGATATTTGGGTTAAGAGTGTAAGATCATACAGGCGTGCTCAGACTTTTTTCGCAGGGTAGGTACCTATGCCACTATCTTTAAACATACCTAGCTCAAAACAAAAAATAACTCCCCAAAAACTCTTAATAGGTACAATTAATAACTTGCCATATATAGTGAAAGAAATTAACACTCGTTTTATTTAGCTTGTTTATTGGTTTTAGATATTTTAATTTGAAAAGTTTGTACTGTGATTTCATTCCAATGAAGTAATAATAGTATAGAAACCTACAGCCATTTGATCTTATTATAATAATATAATGATGACAAAAAATGATAATCTAATTAATCGAAATTCTTTTATTTTTGTTAGTGGTAGGCAGTATGAAAATAAGGAATACCGCTGGGGCCTGCAAAATATTCTGGTGACAAAACCAGCAGTTCTCACGAAAATGGTAGATTTTGAATTCAACTATATTATCATAAGTTAGCAATCTATTTTATTATTTATAGGTGTACCTGTAGTGATTATGAAAATATGAAAATGAAATCTAATTAATATTTGATTTCGTCTCAACTGCCAATATTTTATTATAAGAAAATAATATAAAAAAATTAATCAATATATTTAAATTCTTGAACTAAGGTACTATGAACTATCTTAGTTCATGATTCTAATTTATAATCAAAACACTTACAACTAAAAACTTTATGGTTAAGGTAACTCTGCAGGAAATGCCATGGCAAACCCGACATCTCCCCTGAGCACGCCTATGGGTAAGACGGGAAAAATACAATCGGGCAAGATGAACCGTGTCCTGCTATTATGTTATTATTTTTTGTTAAGTTTTAAATTCAGCTTTATGTTTATCATTATCCTTATGTATGAAATATGAATATACCAGCTAGTATAGTAAAATAAATGTTTTACAAGCTAATATAACTATAGACTATAGGGTATTGTATTATCATTTAGTCATTTAGACATTATAGCGATATGAAAATTAATACTATATAGGTACCTACCTATAATCATAATTTTCCCTTTCATTTTTCTGATAAATTTTAATGTACATTGTACCTACGTCTATTGTATGCCGTGTTTAATGTATTTATACAATGTATAAAAATTAAAAACAAAGATTTTAAGCTTAAATAACATTTAATCACCTACATGATATGAAATTAATTGATTTGTTATGACTTATGAATAAATAAGGACCTATCTTATCTTAGCCATTATCCACGATGGGACAATACCTACTCAATTTTTTTTTTATTGATCAAGAAAACGCTTCAAAAACATTGGTTATTACTTATTAGCTTGTGTTATTACATTTTTTTTTTTAAACAGTATTATTATGAAGATATTTTTCTAAATAAGTTTAGTTGTATAAATCAGTCATTTTTAGAAAATGTATTATTTTGTTGTTTGCATCCTCGTCGGGTCCCAGGATTTCGGATAATTGTTCAAGAAGATTGTTTTTTTTCCTGAGGTCTTCGTAATTACAGACAATAGTGAGTAGGTACCTATGTGTTTTACTGTTGTGCGTGTTCCACATATGTATTGGGGGGCTTTCTTTAGCCATTAAGAACCCGTGGGTGAATTTTGTGTGTCCTATTCTTAGTCAGTTTAAAACTTATACCTACCTACTAAATTCTTATATTTAGTAAAAATGTAGGTATGTATAATTAACAATAATAGGTATAACAAAATTGATTAGAAACTTAGGAACTAAACATAACTTTACACAATAAAGGATCTTTGTTATTTCAATAAAATAAAATATTAACCTTCTTTGATACAATTTTTAGAAAGTTAGGTCTCCCATTATCTTACCCAGGTTTCCTCTAATAACACTGTACATTGCAATATTGCATTTTTAGCTCAATAATATACAAATAGCCTTCTTACATAATTTTATACTTACTAGTTAGTATCAAAGGTTACTATCATAAGCATATAAGTAACCCATTTTTTGAGAGATAACAATAATTAAATAATTTATACATATGTAGAGGTATACTTAAATATATTACCTATTAGCTACTATATGAAGGCAAAAAACGAGCCCATACCCCACCCTGCCCTCCCCCCACAAATGACGCCACTGTCGCCAAGTCAAAATTACAAAAAAAAACCAAAGTCTATATATTTCACCAAACCGTTTTGCCCTACTCGCCACTGATGACACCAATTAAACAACTAATTTACAATTTATTAAATGTTTGTTTTTGTTTTTATCATAACCTACCTATTTGAAATTCGAAAACGATTGTTTTTTTAATAGGTACCTATAGTAGTTTAATTTGATTGTTATTAGATTACGTTCTCGGTTATTATTAGTTTTGATCGAATTTCTATTCCATTTCCATACAATATAATATTATCGTAGGCACCACGTATATTTACCAGCATCGAAATTCAAAGGGCTGACTTCACCAGGTTGTATATTGAACATTCCATTATTATAGTATATTATATACCTATATCTACCACCTATGTCATAGTATGTGGGAAACACACTACTGTAAATATTATCATCGATAATATCGTTTTGATGATTGAAACTGCAGCTAACCCTTCTAGAATAGATATAGGGACATCGGCATATCAACTATTGGTGCTTACATATACAACGAACAAAGTTAGGTCATGCAAGAGTTAGGTAGGCAAGTACTTATTATTAGAGTTCAAACAATGTATATACGACGTCACACATAATAATATAATAATAATCCCGTGCACTTGGTTTCCCGTTAAATGTACCACATCAGCTATGTGACTCGAACTTTGTTCAATTCGTTATTTAATATTCGGTGTATGGTGTTCAAAATTTATCTTACCTCTTCTGTTGTCTGGGATAAAAATTCTGATTCGCATCAGTATATTATCAGGTAGGCAATCTACCTGCGATAGATCGTAGACCCCGTCCTGTCTGTACGGAACTTTATAATTTAACTCTAAAGTATCAAAGTTATACCAAGTATGTCAGTATGTCACTGAACTCCTCCTAAACCGCTGGACTAATTGTGAATGCCGAGTCTGTCGATCAATATTTCCTACTCATCCATGAATACGTGGCATTGTTTTATGTAGGTAACTTATATGTGAATATAATAAGCTCAATATTTACGCAATTGCGATACATATTATATCAAAACGCAGCCTACAAAAAAAATTGAATGAATACACTGATTTCTCGGCAATCAATAATAATAATAATTTTTTTTTTTTTTTAATTGATC